TTCAACAGAGAAATAAATAATGAAATAAAATACTTGCAAATAAAATAAAACATATAAATATTATGAAAATAATAAGTAAATATAAAAATTTTGAAAAGAAAGAAAAAATTAAATATATAGTTTTTAATTTTTAATTAATAGAGACAATTTATAATTGATTTTTAAAAGTTTGACCAGATCCCCAGCGGAGTCGCCAAGCTGTCGTAACCGGTTTTCGCCCGGGCACGAATTTATTTGTTTGGCGGGAAAAGTGATGTGAATAATAAATGGTTTTGAAAATAATTTGGGAGTCGCCATCGGCCTTTTGGGTCAGGTAGGTCGAATACCTAAAAATTATTTTTTTTAAAAGAGTTAAGAAAACATCAATTAAAAAAAAATTGAACTGATCTGCATTTATAACAAAAAATTCGTTCTTTTTAATAATAAAAAGGGATTCGTGGTCGGTTACGTTTAGGGAAGGATTAGCACCCCTACAACGCCCAAAATTGGTACTTTTTAATTATAAATTGTCTCTATTATTAAAATTTTAAAAATTCAAAAATATATTTAATTTATAATTCTATTATTTCAAAATTATATAAAAAATATTTATTTATTTAAAATATCCGAAAAGAACTTCTAGGTGCCTTAAGACAGCTCTTTTCTTTGATATTGATAAATATTAATTTAAATAATATTGTTTACTTTTTAATTTTAAAATATCAGAATAGGACACCCAGTTGTATTAAGACTGTCCTTTTCTTTGATATTAAAAATAAATATTTAAAAATACTATTATTATATATTTATGAATATAAAAATATTTAACAATATAATAAAAAAAATACAAATACTACTAAAATAATATATTTAAAAACAATAAAATAAATGAAAACATATAAAATAACTGACTAAATTAAATAAAAATAAAATTAAAATCTAATTCATAATTAATCAAAATTATAGGGATTAAATATGTTATTTCTTTATTTATTTATTTGGTGACTAAAATAAAATTATCTAAAATTCGGATATTAGAATCAAATAAATTAAAATATAAACTAGGGATTAAAATATTATTTATTAAAATTAATGGATTAAATCTGTAATTTATCCTAATATATTATTTTAATGAAGGACTAAAATAAAAGAAATTAAAATTCGAAGACTGAATTAAAAATATTATAAATTCAATTTAGTGACTAAAATGTAAAGTTTACAAGTTCGGAGGACTGCGGACGGGGTTTAACTATTTTATAATTACGCGCATAGTCCTTCCCGAAACGACGTCGTTCGGGAAGGACTATATATGGTCCAAACCGGCTGGCCCGAAGGGCCAGCCTTCATTTTTCATTTCACTCTCTCTCTCTAAACTGAGAGAGTTTTAAAACTCTCTGCCTTCTCTCTAGCTTCCCTCATCGGAGGGAAGCCGGTCACCGGTCGGCCACCGTGTGCCGCCGTGAATGTCACCGCCGGCCACCGCATCCGGTGGCCGGAAAAAATTATTTTTATACTAATAGATAGATCGGACCGTCCTAAGGACGGTCCCGGTGTTCTTTTCCCTTAAAAAGCTCCTAATCGGAGCGAATCTACAAAAATACCTTCGATGTTTCGAAGGTTCTGACGAGATCTGGTGGTCGAGGCTTCCTCGGTAAGTCTCTTCTTCCTTTTTCTTTTTTTTTTCTTCTGGTTCTTTGCTGCTGAGATCGTTGGTAATAGTTTGTATCTTCTCTGTTATTTTTTTTTTCTGTCTCTCTGTCCCGTTCTCTGTCTCTGTCCTTTTTTTTCAGGTTGGGGTGGTGGCTTTTATAGCCACCACCGTTGTAGCCATCGGACCGGTCCGAAGAGGGGGTCTCGGTGAGTCACCGGACTACCAGTGGTGACTCACCCCGTAGCCGTGGCGTGGACGGCTGGCGTTGGAGCTTCTGGAGCGTTCGGTTGGGACGTGGCAGCGGCGGAGGTGGCGAGATAGCAACGGCGGCCGCGTGTCCCTAGGGTATCAGACCCTAGGGTTTCCATCTGGGGCAATCTGGACCGTTGGATCGTGCCAGATCCAACGGTTGTGATGAGGCGGCTGGTTTAGATTAGGGTTAGGAAACCCTAACTGGAAACCCAAATGTTTAGGGTTTCTGGTTTGATTTGGACCGGTTCTGGTTTGTTTGTAACTGGGCCGGTCCAGTTGTAATTGGTCTGTAATTATTATTTATATATATATGTTTAATATATTTAATAATAATAATGATAATAATAATAATAATAATAATAGTAATAATAATAATAATATATATATAATAATAGTAATAATAATAATAATAATAATAATAATATTATTATTAATAATAATATGGATAAAAAATTAATATCTTCAGATGTTTTAGGTAGAAATAATAATGTTTTTGGTAATTTTTTATCGGTTTTGTTATTTAAATAATAACAAAACCAATAACGTATTTTTTAGCTGTATATTAAAGGTGTCGCATTGTAGAACTTCATGTTTTTTGTTGCATGGCTGAGATGAAGGACTAGGAGGAGCCAGAGACAGCCGCCCGACAACCGTTCGGAGGCATCTTACGAGCTACTGCTGTCGGGTACATGAATCTTTGACGCTTCGGGGAGCTCGGTTGGGGTGGTTCACGTGCGGCCGGGGGGGGGGGAGGTAGATCCATGGTGGCGGCTGGAAAAGGGTTGTAAAACCCTAATTGTTATGGGGGTCTCTTGTAAATGTATCTTTAGTGTTGAATTGGGCTCGTACTTTGACTTGTAATGGACCTAAGAAGAAATAAAAATGGATATTAGTTTTATATTTAATTTATTTAATAACCATATATTTTATAGTTAAATACCCATGCGCATGCACATATTTAGTTACTATGTATTAATTATGATCAACAATAAAAAAAGGGTAATAGCATCACTAAATAATAGTTAAATACTATATATATATATAATTTATTTAATAGCTACTTAATAATAGACATAACCCATGCGCACACACATATATATACATTTAATTTAATTACGATCGATCAATGAAAACAAGCACGATGTATTTAGATGATAACCTAAAATGAACACCTATATCTATTTACTATATAATGATGAACTAAGTAAATAACTATAATATATAAAAATAATAATAGTAATGGGCTAATACTAATAATAAAAAATTATAATAATTAATACTAATAATAATGAAGAGATCAAATTGAAGCTCGGACTAAATACAGTGTCTACAGCTACTGCAAAACCGAGTTCGTTTAATATCATGAAGTCAAAGGTCGTTTTGCTGGTGTCGCACGAGTTCTCGCTTTCTGGTACTCCTTGTTTTTATTTACGTTAATAGCTATCGTTAACGACTTCAATCACTTTATAATTTGTTTATGATATTTTGGTTGAATTCCAATGCACTGAAATTCGTTTTAGTTGCTTCCCTTTTACTGTTCAGAAAACTTGGTAGGGTTTATTTAGGATATGATTGATTCCCTTGAAGTATCATTGCAACTGAACTGAATTTATGTTCAGTAGCTTTGAGGTAACCGTCTGCATCATCTATGGAATGTCATCGCACGATTGTAACTGATCTGTGTACACATATAAATGAGTTCTATTATCGTATAGAGGTACTAGTAGAAGATGTGCATGAGTTCTTTCAGTTAGTGTGATGTTTTAGCCTATCCCAAAATTTCAAAGTTCATTGCAATCAAACAAAACCATAGAAAGACTCATAGTGTACATATTTGCCTTTCCATATGATGTACAATGTACATGTATAAGGATGAGTTATTTTCTCTTAACAAGTTCATAGCCTAAGATTTGGATGATCATATTGAGACATACTTGATGAATATTAAATTTATAGGAAGCACCAATAAATGCTCTTGATGAGTTTATAGCTTAGGTTTTAGTGATCGTTTTGATATAGACTTGATGAAATTCTTGATTTTATTGGACGATCGATTAAATGTTCTTAATAAATTTATACGTTAAATTTTGAGTGGTCCTAATGATACAGACATGATGAATTTATCAACTTCCGAGATTGAGTTTCTTGATATAAATGAATTCATATCTTAAAATTTGAGTGGTCATATAAAGACAGACTTAATGAATTCATTGAATTTTAAATTATAGCTTTAAACTTATTTGATCTTAATGATTTTATAGTCATTACTCAAATGATTTATATTAAGATAAACAATATGAAATCACCTATGTTAGTGTGAACCTTCTATAAAAAGATGTTAGACTTTTTTCTAGAGAACTTACCAACATCTCAAAGCATATTGACTAAATTGTTAATCTATCGTAAAATTCATTTGGGGAAGAGGTTGGTCATGCATTAAGTTTACTCATATTTTAACAAGTTTTAGATTGTTCACTTGTTAATAAATAAAATTATACATTTCCTTACGTATTCGTTCTAGATATGTTCAGTAACAATTAATCAATTATTTTCATTTTTGTTCTTTTCTAGTCTCTAAAAGATTATTTATTCACATTAATAAAGGATTGTTAGTAATGCAAATAATCTTATTAGTTTTAAATTCAAATCAAGCGATTTAGATAGTTGGGGCGTTTGAGATTTTTATGGTATACTGCCCCTTCCTTTAGGTTCGTTTCCCCCTTTATTTTTTCTATAAAAGGAAAATCTCATTCCATTCTTCAAACACATTGAAACATTTGATTTTTTTTCTTCTTTTTCCTTGTACTTTTTCTCTTTTTAGAAAAATAATGTCGATTGAGTTCTATCTTTTCATTTGGGTGTACATATATAGATGCACCGTATTAAGCTTGAAGGTGGCGTCCATTTCATGATCACACCAATCAAGATAAAGTCACTTAAGACAAAAAAAAAATTTACCATAACATAGTAAATCAATTTATTTTTACATTTTAATTAATTATTTTCCCTAATCATTGTTAATATTTTTGTTTTGCATCATTACAAATATGCCAACAATACATATTTTTTTACAAATAAAAACACTACAAAATGAAAAACAATCTCTAAAAATATGAACGTGTGTGGGAGTTTTGGTCATTTCCAACGTGCATGAAGATCCTGGCTACTTATGACAGTGTTGGGGCGAGGAGAGCTCTCTCCTTCAATAAAACTCTCCAACGAATACACCTCCCAAGCTCCATCTCTCCAGTATGTAGAATACACATCAGGGATGTGAGCAACTCTCCAGTAATCTTCACCTTGTTCATCCTGCCGTAGGGACCTTATAAGTTCATGCGGCATGTCGAAAAATTCGAGAACATTCAGCTTCGTAAGATGTTCGATCCCCAAGGGCACCTTCTCCATTGATTTACATCGCTGAATGCTTAGCTTTTCTAGACCCGGCATCGACCCCACCTGGATTTGCACCCATTGCAGTTCGTCGAAGTTGTCGAGGCCCAGATGCTTCAACTTTTTGAACCCTCCAGCATTGAAGCACAGTGTGTCTCCATCATAAACATGTACTAATTCGAGATGGACTAGGTTCGGTAGATGTTCGAGACAAACTAGTGGATCTTCCGGTAAGAGGCTCCATTTTAGGTACAGTTTAACTAGACTATGAAGGTAGCGGATCCAATGAGGCATGCTCTCCAATCTGCCTCTCAAGTACAGTCGCTGAAGCAATGGAGGTGGAGATACGAGGTGTTGAACATCGATGGGCTCGTTTTCTTCGATCGATATAATAGACAAAGCACGAAGACATGTCAGCTTTTCGATAGAGGAGCACAGTTTCCGCCCATCTTCCTTCTTCAACTTTGTGATACCGAGTCTCCTCAGCTGAGTGAGTTTCCCCAACTCTGTCAATATCACATTCCCTTGGTCTACCTCTATTAAACACAGCTTTTGAAGGGATTGCAACTCTCCTATTCTTTCTAAACCTTTAAACCCGTATTTTGAGTGGAAATAATCATACGACTCGAACTCGTATCGGTACACTAAAAGATGACGGAGACGCTGCAGCTGTAGGATCTCGACTGGCAATTCAGTAACATAGGCATGTTTAAGATCTAAGGTCTCAAGATTGTGAAGCTTTCCTATGAACTTAGGAACAATTGTTACCTTGGTTCCCCTTAAGTTTAAGTACTTTAAATAATACAGGTTGGCAATGTCAATTGGGAACTTTGTTATGGGTGTAGCTTGCATGTCAAGCACAGCAAGTAACTTAAAGCCTCCAGGAAATAGTTTATGCAAGGATGGATTTTCTTCCACCGCAAACACGAAGAGAGACCGCAGTTGAGAAACAAACCTGTTTTGAAGTACGTTCTGCAACGTATTATGAATGGAGAGGCGTCGAACTTTGTCGGGCCACACCGCGGTCTGATCTTTTGCTATGACAGCAAAGTTTTGCTCCCTGGACTTCAATATGATGATCTCTCGAACAAGATCATGAACGCGGCATGACCTCACCCTACCATCACTGGTCATCCCCGCTACTTGAATTAAGCTTCGGTTTAGGAGCTCGTTGAAGAAATCCTCTGCTACATCTTCTTGTGTCTTTCCCTGTTTTGTTTCAACGAAGCCTTCTGCTATCCAAAGTCGTATCAGCTTCATAAGCTCGATCGGGTGATCCTCGGGAAAGATGCTCAAGTACAAGAAACATGATTTCAGATAGTATGGCAAATCATTGAAACTGAGAGATAATACTTTCTTCAAATTCATAAGCTTGTCATTGCCATCGATCTCAGCTCCAAGACTACGACCAATCGTTTCCCATTCGTCTATTCTTCGCTTGTTTTTCGTAGCCAAAACACCACTAATTGCAACAATGGCAAGAGGCAACCCCGCACATTTCTTCAAGATCTGTTTACAGATTTCCTCCAAGTGGGGAGGACAACAGTTTCCTCGAAAAGTCTTCCTACAAAACAACGTCCAGGACTCTTCAGGAGGCAAAGGCTCCAAATTGTACACTTCACCTTCGGATTCTATGCGAGAGGAAAAGGCCAAGTCCGCATTTCGTGTGGTAAGCATCACCCGGCTGCCGCAATCGTTAGCAGGCAAGGCGAACTTGATAGCATCCCACCCGTTAATGTGCCACAGATCGTCCAAAATGATCAGGTACCTTCTTTTTCGCAGCCAGTTTTTTATTATTGTTTTGAGTTGATAGCTGCTCATGCTGTCCACTCCATCAGGGATTGGTTTACTAATCACTCTGGAGAGTTGCTGAACCATGTCTTTAAGGAGACTCTCCAACTTGAAAGATTGTGAAACCGTGATCCAAGCATGGATCGGTAAATGTTTCTTCACTTCTGCATCATCATACACTTGCTTCGCCAACGTGGTTTTCCCCAAACCACCCATTCCCAATAGTGAAATAACTCGGCGGTCTGTACCGCCATCGATAAGCCATCCGACAAGCTTCTTTTTGCTCTCGTTGATGCCGACTACATCCGTTTTATCCAAAAGAAGGGCGTCCTCTCGGCGGTCCTGCCATGCATTGCCTGCACTGTTGGAGTTAGATCCTTCATCAGCACAGAATCTCTGACGAAGCCTACGGTGTCCATCACAGATGTCTCGTATTCTGGAGTTGATGCCTTGTATGTCAGAAGCGATCCGATAACGAGCCTTCATGTTCCGAATACAGCAAGACATCTTGTGAAGAAAAGAAGAGAGACCTCGTCCATGATGATGGGTGAGGAGAAGCATGTATTCGTCGAGAATGTCCTCCATGTCATGAGCAATATCTCTGATTTGCTTGACCCATACCTTGAGTTCCTCGTCAGTGTCTTCCAATGCATCTGCAACTCTCAAGAAGGCTCTCATGCGCTCCAATTCTCCCCTTACGTACGCAACTTCTTCTCTACCCCCTCTCAACAGTTGCATCTCCTTTTCAAACAAAGGCGCCAGCTTTTCCAGTAAGAATTGAACTGCACTCTCTGCCATATTTCTCTCGCACTTCAGAATATCACCACCTTTTTTTTCCTTCAGAGACGAAGGGGGCTTGAACTAAGGCCCCAAGTAACCCTTTTATAACATATTTGGTACTCAGATAATGTCACTGCTGATGAATGCTGAGCTGGGAAAAGTTTGGAAAAAAATTGGATTCTGTACTTGGGCAACAAGAGTTCTTTCCAATATTTATTGATAAGGAATTAAGCTTTAATTTCCTGGATCTTTAGAATTGAATTGCCAGGAAAAGCAAAAACCAAAAGTCATGACAATTTCATCGTTAAAGTTATGGTTATAATTGAGACTAGACAAATCACAAGTTATTTGAGTTCGACACGATCAAACCTCGGTTAAAATTCAATCCCAATGGATTCGACTAATGTTTTTAACAAACCAAATTGAACCACTTAATACCCGACTCAAAAAAATATATTAACATTTTAAGTATTTAAATTAAAATTTTAATAATATTAACGTTTATATCTTATTTTAAAAAGTATAATATAAAACTTTTATATACTTAAGTTTCAAGTTCGAGTTTTAATCTAATTAAGTTTAAGATTATTTTGAGTTCAAATTTTTTCGAGCTCGAGTCGAACTTCAATTTTTTATTTCAAGTTGAGTTTAACAGCTTTAAGTTCACAAATTTTCAAATAAAATCGAACTCAAAATACTCAAACTCGACTCAACTCATTTACATACTTAAATTTATAACATAAGAACTGCTTAGATTCTTTTCATGTTTACCCGGAAAAAGGGCTATCTAAATAATAGTTCTTGACCTTCCTCGTTTATAAAAAATGATTTAATAATATGGACCAACAAGGCCATGACTAGGATTACTTATCCGAGTAACTCAGTGTAACCGAAGGGAAATTAAGTTGATCAATAAACTTAACAGTCAACACTATGTTCTTATCACATAGAATTTTCGTAGTAAATTAATTCTGAGAACGATTCAAACTAAACAGTCGGTTTGATTGCAGAACAAGGCAACCACGAAAGATTGAAAGCTTAGTTTAACCTATACCTTGTATTTGTAAACGAGCTGAGTTGAACTTGAAAAGTTTAAAATTAGGCTCGACTCGAAAACTCGCGAGCTAAAAATTATTAAGCTCAGCTCGAACTCAAAATATAATATTGAAACTCGAATCGAACTCGAAAAGGCTCGAACTCAAAAAAATTTCAAGAGCTCGATCAAAGCTAGAGACTCGAGCTCGATTAAAACTCGATTTTGAGTTCAATTCAAGCTCGAACTCAAACTCGAATTTGAACCTACAAAAATCTTATATTACATTTAAAAATATATTTTTAAAATTTTATAATTATAAATAATGTATTTTTAATATATTTTTAATAATGTAATTTTAAAAAATCAAAAATTATAATATAATATTTTTTTCGAATAACTCGCGAACTTTTCGAGTCGAGTATTAAATAACTCGTTTTAGTTCGTTAAGAATTTGAGTCAAATTCGAGCTCTAGTGTTCATTCGATTCGAGTGTTGATTAAACTTTGACCGAATTAATCTCAAGTAGCTCGCGATCTGTCTCGTCTCATTTACAACCGTAATGATGATCATCAACTTGTTCTCGCTATGCATTTGCATATTTCGTATGTTAACCAGTAAGAGGTAACCCTATGCCTTGAATTTGACCATATCCACGTGATACCAATGGCCAGTATGCCTTCTCCTTTTAAGAGTTTCCAGGCAATCTCTGCCTAGTAGTTAACCATAATGGAAGATGCAATTCATTGGCAAATGAATATAAAACATTAATCAATTCCAACATCATTTCTTGCACACTAGGTTTCCCTTTTCTTTTTCTTTTTTTTTTATAGATGAGATTCTTATTTAACAAGATGGATATTCAATGAAAAAGCAAAATCTAGGTTTTCCACATTCCATACTACCAGTAGTCTGCTAATACAAAACTGGTTAAAAAGTAAATAAATATGGTGGAATATCTAGAATAAGTAATCTACCGGTTTTTATAATCAATTCTCCATATTTTAGTGCATCAGTTTTCATCATCTGAGTCATCAAATGTTATCTTTTTAGCCTTTGGAGCATCAGCAGCAATTTCCTTGAAGTGAGCCCCATATAGCTTGGACTCCTGTGTTAAGACAGGTAAAAAGATGATCAAAGTCCAAGACTTTTTCCCCTTCAGTAATAGAAGAGGTCACAAGACATACCATAAACCACAAAACATTAATGTGAACGTATACAAGGATGCATGTGAGAGAGGGAGAGGTAAAAACAAACCTTCTTCTTGACATGAGTTCCAAATTTCAACAGTGCAGGTGGAACAACCTGCCCAGCTTCTTTGAGAACATTTACCAGTTCTCCAGCAAGTCCCTGCCATAAGCTTGTTACTGCTTGAAATAAAACTGACCATGTTCCATTCACCACTTGTTTAAGGGTAAGATAATTTGTAATAGTTTACCTTATTTTGCTGTGTGAAGAATGTGTGAGCAACACCCTTCCTACCAGCTCTTCCGGTCCTTCCTATCCGGTGCACATAATCCTCTGTAGTGAGAGGAAAACTATAATTGATCACTACTTCAACATCCGGAATATCCAATCCTCTAGCAGCCACATCCGTAGCTACCTGAATCACATGGTGTTAATACGGATCAAAATTTAAGCTAGTTAAATCAACAAGCGTAGAGAAGTTATACTATTTATTATTTACATCAAGTGCCTGAAGGAAGTAGCCAAGTATTACTAAAAAAATTTGCAAACGCCTACTTAAATATCAACATAAAAAACAACACCGGGTAAGCACTGATGTTGCCCACATTGGCTTTCAGCAGAAAGTTGTTACAATAATTTAAAAACAAAATATATAATTTGCAGGAGTATACCATCAAAGGACAGCTTCCTTTCTTGAATAATGATAGAGCCTTGGTGCGATCATTTTGTGCTTTGCGACCATGTATAGAAACAACATTCCAGCCACTAGAAAAATAAAATAAAAAGAACTAAGAAAAGCAAGAAAATGAAATAAAAAGCTAAGTTAAAATTCTGATGCAATAGAGCACGCACGAATGGTTTTGAACTTTTAAACCCAACCAGGAACTATCAAGCAATTCTTATGATATATTTAACTGCACAACTCAAAATCACATGAATAACAAACGATCATGCCAGTGACATGTTGGACTAATATCATCAAATTAGACTGGTTAGCATTATTGCAGATTTTAATAAATAACTCTCGTGCTTAATTTAAAGTAAAAAAAAAACTAAGTCCAGACCTGTAACAATATCAAAGTTCAAAGGCCATTTTAATTTAAGGAAAGAATGGATCTTCAAACTTATTTATTTAACATGAAGTTCATTTAAAAAATAATAATGCTACACTTGATTACATAGATATTAACACAAGAAAAAAGCTTAATTATTACATGAGTTTTAAAATAGTTTGTCATAACATAAGGAAGAATGAGTACAAATCTAAACTTGAAATGATAAAGATGAGTAAAAACTCAAGTAAAAATAATACCTATTCAACATAAGCCATTTGAGTTGCTAAAAATTACCGAGTGAAGTAAGTTTATTGCTAACTCGTGTACAAAAACATGAGGATAAATAACACTCTTACCAAACATAGCACAAGTGCAAACTTTAAATGCTACCCATTCTATTTAGCCAATGAAGAGAAATTACAACACTTATTTTAAATAAGACAAGGGAAGTAAAATTTACCTTCTCTTAAGCATATTTTCAATACGATCTGCTTCTGCCTGGTACAAGACAAACACCAACACCCTATTCCTGATTGAAGTGAAAAACTCTATGTAAAAACTCGACAAGATTTGAAATTAGTATAAGTAAAATAAATAAATAAATAAATAAATATAACATAATAATACAAGTCTAGTCAACTTAAAGTAACAGTATGGGCTTATTATCCCTATAGGTTAATGGCAATAACATAAAACAAAAAAATCAAATTAGATAAATCAATATTCACAAGCTACTAGAATCATAAGGATTTCTTGGATAGCTAACATGATGAAAATTTAAGGTAACCTTGCCCCAATATTTTTTCTGGTTTCAAATCCTCTGATATGTTTAATCTATTTGCAGACTACAATACAATTTCAGACAGAATTATCTAGAGGGCAAACAAATTCACATTCTTGTCAAAACAATCGCCAACTGGAAGAATAAAAAAAGAAGAAAATATTACAATTCAATAGATGTGAGATCAACTACCTCTGAGATTCATGGTATTTCTTGAGCAAATCAGTCAAACGCTCATAACGTGCACGGTCATCCAAAACCTACATATGAAAACAAACTGTTAATATAAGTGTGCATGTGTGTGTACACATACACAATATATTTAATATGAAATATGGTTTAACTGTTAAGTAATATCAAACCTCAACTATCTGCATAACATCATGGTTGGCAGCTAAATCTTCTGAGCCAATCACAACCTGAAAACAAATTCATTATTTCCCCAAATAAATAAGAAATCAAGAAAATGTCACCATGCATGAAGATAAACCTTAACAGGATTAGGGTCCATGTATTCTTGAGCTAACCGGTGAACTGCTGCAGGCCATGTAGCACTGAACATTACCATCTGACGAGCTGCAAAGGTTAAAAGAGACATGAGTCTCTCCAACATAATTGCTCATGCATTACTCTACAAAGATACAGAACAATGTTTCTTAGCTTGATCAAGCTTTACGTTATCAATAATTAGTAGCATTTACACAGAGAAGTTATCAAACCTAAAAGCTCAGGCATCAGAAAAAACTTTAAGCTAAATAGTAGAATAAAATTCCAATGTATCAATCAAGACACATACCAGAACTTGTCTTTCCCAAAATAAAGCAAACATCCTCTTCAAATCCCATGTCAAGCATTCGATCAGCTTCATCTAGGACCTACAAAATATCAATTCACTTTTTTCCTTACTACTTACATGCTCCATCTATTCAAGAAATGGGTTATATAAAAGATGTATCAACCATTAACCTAAGAACCCTAATGGAAGAAATTGAAAAAAGACTAGCAACTATAGCAACGAAATCGACCGGTTCTCCTGATTACATTACACATTCAATTATGCATAAAACAGCCTTTAGTGGCCAAGAATAGGATAATAATAAAGTTTACACAGAAAACATTGCATAATTTCAAGACAAAGTGCAATGCATGAGAGTACTGACAAAGGAGTATTCACTTACCACAAAAGACACCTCAGTAAGCTGACACACCTCCATGGTCATCAAATCCTTCAAACGACCAGGCGTCCCAATGACTACATCCTAAGTTCACAGAAAAATCCATTTACTATTAGCCAATATAAAAGCTTTATACACAAAAAAGTAGAAACATCAATCCTAAAATGTGCTAGCAGCGTAAATTTATTCAAAACAAGCAAAATCGATAAATTGAATTTAACAACCATAATAAAGCATCTAATTGCTAACTACACAGTCCACACCTTTTACACATTCAATGAAATCATGATGCCAGAAAGTTTCAAGTACTACGACTCAACCGGAAAACTAAACAAAGCTTTCGGTTCCACAACCATATTCAGAAGTTCACTAGCTGAGTCACATTGAATATGGCAAAAGATTAAACACCCATTTCAAACATACCATCATTTTGAAAGAAAAAAATATACAGAATAACAAATCTATAGAATTTTAATAAATTAAACAGTTCACCCTGGCCTGCCAGTTCCAAGAACATTTCAACCAAAACAAGGTAAAAAAAAAGATGCATAAGGTAAAAGGAACATGTTAACCAAAAATACTAATGCACACACCAACATATAAAAATAATAGAAATGAGAAATGAAGTAAATTAACTTACAACACCAGACTTCAAAGAAGAAATCTGAGGTCCTTTAGATGTTCCCCCATACAAACAAACGGATTTGACATCACATGCTTGGCCGGCACTACACAAAACATTAAATATCTGCCACCAGAAGATGAAGCCAAAAGACTGGTTAAATTCTAAAGAGAGAAAAAAGCCTTTTTAGATATTATGCACCATCACCGCACATCCAAAAATGGAAGTTCTGCATATACTAAAGTACAAATTGCTAAAGCGAGACCAAGTCAAACAGATTCATACTTGTTCAGCCAACTCTCTTGTAGGGGAAAGCACAAGGCAAAGCGGATTCCTCCCTTTCGAGGATTTACCATTTCTCTTGTTCAATACATGCATCATTGCCGGTACGCCAAATGCTAAAGTCTTGCCTGATCGCACGATAAAACAAATAAACATAACATGAAAAATATCACAAAATAATCAGGAAATTATTAAAACCTAAACCATGTCAAAATTTGCGGCACAAAAATGGAGTACCTGACCCAGTTTTTGCAATTCCAATAAAATCACGACCGTCCAATAAGAAGGGCCAGGCGTGAGCTTGAATGGGAGATGGACTACTAAAATCCTTGCAGCAGTCCAAAACATTTTTTGGTAAATTAGAATTAGCAAATGATTTCAAGGGCACATATTTTGCATCTTCAGCATTCTTTCCGCTCACCACCACCTTTTCCATCCCATCAAATTCAATTGAGTCTACTTTTCCATCTCGGATTTCATTAAATTCCTCATTTTCTTCCTCTTTCTTCTGATTTTTATTCTTCTCTTTCTTCTTCTTCTTCTTCTTCTTAGACTCCTCACCGCTTTCCTCGGGTTCACCTCCTTCGTTGTTTTCTCGTTCTTTCTGTCTCCTTCTCTTGTCTTTCTTGCTCTTTTTTGGCTCGATTTGCTCGTTTTCTAGGTGACTCTGCTTAACATTTTCGTCAACTTGATCTTCGGGTTCTGGAAACTTGTTCTTCTTGCTCTTTTTCTTGGTTTTGAATGCTTGATATCCCGTACTCTCTGGGGCTTGTGGTTCTGTCAAGGGAGTCATTTTCTTTTTCAAACTGCGCTACCAAAAGAACCAAACCCGAAAGCTTCATGAGGTGGGAAGTTGAGATTTTATACTAGGGTTTTAGCTTTGCAAAGCGCGTGCGCCGTTTAACTTGGGCTTTATATTGCGCACACGATAGCCCTTTCTGGGCTTTGGCATGTACTTTAGTTTTGTCCTTTATTTTTTTTAATACAAAAATAAGTGTCTAAATTATATATCGAAAAATATTTTATTTCTTAAAGAATTTTTCGTTAAAAATATGTGTCTAACTTTACAATCATAACCATTTTAGGTGTTGAGGCCATAACTACCGTTTAATTTTACCGTTAAAGAACACTGTCATGCCCTGGTAATTTATACAATTTTATTTAAAATTAAAAAATTAAAATTATATTTTAAAAAACAAAAAATTTATAAAAATTTCTTCGTTCTCTTCTGCCTTCTCCTTTTACCCTTCCCCACAACAAAGCAATGGCGAAGGCAATAGCGGTTCGTTGGTGACGTACACCGCCACCACCACTAACTTCGTCAGTGTCTCGCGACCCCAATCCCAACTAACAATCACCCAAATCAACCTTTGATCGTCACAAAATAGTAAGAACCCAACTATCCCCTCGTCGAATAGCGTTGTTGTTCGCCATGAAGAAAGCTCCGAAGCTTCGGTGAAAACACAACCCAACCGTCAGCCATTGTTTTCGACGATTATGATTGATCCCAACGATCATTAGCCTCACCGTCACCGTCATTGAAGTCCCAACGGAGATGGTGTTGCAGCGACGAAGATGGTGGCCGACCAACAATGGCTGAAAAATGAGTGAAATTATAGATTTTTGGATTTTCGGAGTTGTTTTGCAATTTTAAAAAACACTGGGTTTTTTAATATAAATAAATTAAGTTTTTTTTTGTTTTTTTTCTTTTAAAAAATAACATTTTTATTTAAAAAATCAGAAAATTTTAAAATATAATGGTAGACACCTAAAAGTGTAATGGAGAAAATGTTAAGCACTTATTTTTAACGAAAATTTTTTTAAGCACTAAAACGTTTTTGAGAAATAGTTTAGACACTTATTTTTGTATTAAGCCTTATTTTTTTATAAATTATTTTAACTTTCAACGTTTCACTTTTTATTTAAAATATTTTTTATTAAATGAAAAATTTTAGTTACTAACCGTCAATATATGTTACTCATGTGACATTCTCAATTGGTGATTTAGTATATGTTACATCATTATTTTTTATTAAAGTGACATATGTCACATCATCAATTAAAATATAAAAATATCGCATCAACAATATATGTTGATAACTAGTTAATTAACATTTTTCATCGAATATGAGTTATTTTGACCAAAAATTAAAACGTTAAGACATAAATTGGTTTAAAAATAATAATACTGAACAACGTGACTTGTGCAAATGTTAAAAGATAATTTTTTTTCATTATACTTTTAGGTTTTTATAACATTACTATATTGTTTCAGGTTAAACTTTGGACATATTCAATTTAATATTAAAAAAATAAAATATAATCAAATTTAAGGATACTTTGTTATGTTTACGAAATTCATAAAATTATTTTTTTATATTTGTTATACCTCCAAAGAATATTCCCTGCTAATAAGGACCTCAGAATATCACGTCCTTTAGGCAGAACCATCATAGGTACCTGGAGATATCATGTCATCTCAAACTATAGAGATATTTGTTTTGTATAACTATCATTGCTTAATCATGTTTGATATGCCCTTAATGCTTATGATATGCTAAATCTAGGTACTCCTAGATAATAACTCAAAACATGAATTATAGAAATGAGGTAAGAACATACTAAATGGTAAATCCCTCGTGTGTATCAAGATATGAAGTTCAAGGCTTAACATTGAATAAGTCATATTTAAGTGATGTTGTAGATGATTGCATGTGGCCTGCTTGTTAAGGTTTTGGTGCATGTTATGTTGGGCTTATTTTGTAAATAACGGTAGTATCGGTACTACCATGATGAATATTGATACTACTGTTATAAGTAGTCGGTATTGAATGTAGTATCGGTATCAAAATTGTATTATGATTTTGAAAAACAAAATGAGTATCGATATTGCCTTGAGCAGTATCAGTACTACTGTTAATTTTTAATCTTCCAGCATCGATACTCATTGATACCACATGAACAATATATGTATTATTCTAGTAGTATTAGTACTAGTATGCTTAAAAATAGTTTTTGATCGATTAAAGTTCAAAACCCTTAGAAAATATGTTCCAAAATTATTTCCAATATATGACTTATTTTTTTTGGGAAAAAATAAGGAATAAAATGGAGCTTTTGACTTTAGAAAAAGTTTTTATATCCGAATAACTGAATCAAATATAATCTTAAAATTTGTTTAAATTATTAATACTTTTTGTATATCAAAAATATCAAAGTATGTTCAACAAAGGTATTAATGAGGCGTTCCTTGTGGCTTAAAAAAATATAATTTGCAGAAATTGACCATAGAGCTCCAAAAACTCAAACGTGAATTTTGAAACTTGCATTACAATGAGTGTGTTGATTTTGAAACTCTACACTAAGTTTTGAAACTTAATAGGTAAATTTCAGAACTTCCACATAAGTTTCAAAACTTTATATCATAGCAAGTTTACCGATTCAAAACTTCACCTCAAGTTTCAAAACTCCTTGTCTAAACTTTGAGAAACTGTCAATTTAATCCATTTTGATTAAATTCTTTTTTTGAAATTTCATATGTTTTTTGTGTATGCAAATTGGTTTATGTTTATGATAATTTTGATAGGTTTTCAGGTAGTGAAAATCCTAACACTTGGACGGAGATGTAGTCAGAGGTGTTTTGACTCTCTGATGTAAATACTCTCTATGCTATATTATTCAGTGAATGATCTCATAACTATTGATTGAGCAGAGGTATCTCTACGTAAAGTTTCTCGATGCTAATTACAAAGGTATCACTTACGTGGTTGGAATATTACAATCGGGGAAGGTTGAGCCCATTCCATGCCATTTTCTTTACATTTTGTATAACTCCTCTTGTGGATGATTCAAGAGGTTGTATTAGTATCTCGATGATGTGTAAGGTTAGTAGATCATTCTCGAATCTTTTTGGTTGATCACTGGCAACAACAACAAAGTTACTATAACAATAAATAGGGTGAAGGTTTCTTAGATACCTTAGCCAAATCGGAGGCATATCGACACTCTCGAAGATGTCCAGTTATTGGGTGGAGGTATCTTTATCATGGTAAAATCAAGGAGAAAAGGCAAATTCTTCCTCGCTAGGGTAAATGCATATCAGAACTTTTTGGAGGTAACTTTGAGTTGTATCAGCAAAAATGAGAGGCATCCTTACATCAACCAGACTTCTAGGGGCATCTCAACGGTTCTAGGGTGGGTGCTTCACAATATTTCATTAGAGTAAAGGCTCTTGACTATTTTGGTTGGGTTTAGGATGTAATCCTATAGCATGAGTCATCTTAATTCTTCTTGGTTAGGTTGAGGAGGTTGCTCATTCTGCGATAATGCATTGCAGTGGGCGCAAAGGTATCTCAATGCGTACCATTAGGGATGACAAACGGGCGGGTCGGGTGCGGATACCCCCTCCCCCATCCCCATACCCACCTAATATTTTTCAATACACCACCGGCCCACCACCCATGTGTCGAAACGATTTTTGTAACCGGGGCGGGACTTTTGAAAACCGCGTCATTTTTAATTATTATCTTTTCAATTGGATTTTTAATTAAAAACAGTGCGATTTTAGAAAACCTCTCGTTTCGAAAAATTGGAAATTCCTTTACGATAAAAATATAAGGTTCGAGGAGTCGCCACCAATCTTTGATTAGGGTGTGATTGGGCACCCAAAAACATTGTCATTTTAAATAAAAATTAATTTTAATTAAAACGACAAATTTACGGTCTACGTTACCAAAATCCAAGTTCGGGAGTCGGTTACGCGTGGGGAAGGATTAGCACCCCCACAACGCTCTAAATCGGTACCTAGTTGATTAATTAATTTCTTTGCAACGAATTTCACAAGTTCAAATTTAATTTGATTAATGATCCCTTTAAACAACAAACATGCAAATTTGCAACATTCAAAGCAACAAAATAGATTTAATTTAAAATTACCAAGGCATTAGAAAGATAAAGAATATTCGATTATTTAAAAATATCGAGACCAGATCTTTAGTTCAGTTCTAACAACCTTTTCTCGAAAAGTTTAAATAGTCGAATATTTCCTTTTCTTTCGCTCCCAAATTTTACAATGATATATCCAAATTTAATTAGGCGTTACTGACGGGATACCATTTTAATTTAAAATCGTCAAAACAACTTTCCTGTAAGTTAAGAAAAGCCATTCTGATAATTTTAGATTAAAAGGGCATTACCCTTAATTCCGATTATGTGATTAGATCGAGTTATGCACACGAGATTAACATGCTTTTTTTTAAAAAAAAAACAACAACTAAACAAAAGTGTACTGACAACATACTCGGAATACTATACATGCATACATTTAAAATAAATCTAAATTAAACTTACGAACATGGATAAAATATTAAACAAAGGGGCTAAAATGTAAAGAACACAAAAGACAGGCTCTTTTCATAACATTTTCATTTCTGGGCAGTCCAAACATGATACAACCAAAATACTACATAGGATCAAAATGCAAGTTTCTAAAACTATGCATCCAATGTAAAAACACACAAAATGGCCCCAACATGAATTTGGACTATCATGAAAAACGCTGAAAATCATGCAACAAAATCAAAAGATAATAAAGTTCAGTATAGGGACCAAATCGAAATGAAACAAGGTTGGGATGGCCACGCTAGACATTAACCCCATTTCCTAAAACGCACAGTTTTCCCCTCAGCTATCAAAACGCTACCGTTTTGGACCTAAACGAAACGACGCCGTTCTGGCGTTCTGTTATATAGGTTATTAGGGTAAAATCTGAAACCCTAAATCACTTTAACCCCTCATCCTCCAAACATACCCGCCGCTCTTCTCTGATTTCCTCTCAATCTCTCCTTCTTCAACCTTCAAACCCCAGACGAAGCATAGCCACCGCCGTGGCC